CCCTGGATGGCTGACCCTGCGTGTGTTGTGTGTGTGTGTGGTGTGGTGTGCGTGTGTTGTGTGTGTGTGTGTGTGTGTAGGTGGGGCTGCTGAGTGAGAATTGTGGCGCAGAGTCTGGGCTCTGGCGTGCCAGGGTGATACGTTCCTCCTCTTCGTCACGGAGCTGTTCCAGCATGCGCTGGAGGTTGGGAGGGAGAGCTAGAAAGAATGGAGGCCGAACGCGCTGGCAAGGTTCGTGAGCTGGTGGCCTCGGTCAAAGAACCCAACGCAACCTACATGGACAGCATGAACGAATGGCGCCTCCTTGCTGAGAAGACGAAGGTCCTCATGGAGAAGGAGGATCGGTGCCTTGAGCGGTGGGAGCAGCTTGCTACCCTGCCTGAGGAATCCTTCGTCGTCTCCTACGTGCTGCAGACAGCCTCCCGCCATCCCCGCCCTCCACGCCAATCCCACCCCGGCACACCCCCAACGTTGTGCCAGCTCCTTCTTCGTCTTCGTCTTCGTCTTCTGCGACCGCTGCTCTCTTCCCCTCGTCGGCCCACACTTGGGCGTACACCCCCGAGGCCAACGGGGTGGTCCCAATAAAACGATTTCATAAAATAAGAAAGGTTTTGAAACGCGTTTTACTCACGTGCCACCAGCACGATATGTGCAGCATAGCACCGCCACCTTACAAGTGTCGGGGGCCAAAACCGACCTGGTTGTACTCCCTGTGCCTGTTCCTTGTTTCCATCACCGGTGATGGACACGCTGCGGGAGCTAGCGGTGATGGTCTTCGTTGCCTTCCTCCGGCGCAAGTTCGAAGCAGAAGAGCATGCCGACGACAGCTCTTCCGCCATGGAGGCAGTCCACTGGCGGGCGCAGTTGGTGGGCGATGTGGGCGAGCGGGTCGCGGAGGTCATGGTCGCGCGCGGCCTCGTGTCCGACTGCACAGCTGTAAGCATCCGCCTGCTGTCGCTCCTGCCCCTCCAAACTCTCCCCCTTCCGTGCGTCAACCCCCTCGACCCCCAGAAATGTGAGGAATGCTGATGGGGAACCCTTGTGCTGCCTTGGTCCAAATGGCGCAGGAAAATGCTTGGTGATCTGGCGGCGGTGGGAGACCTGGTGGCAACAGCACATCTGTGGCCTCCCACTTTGACGCATATCGACCTCACCGGTGCACGGTAAGGATTTATCGCCACTTTGTATCGCTGCGTGCACGTCTTTGTGTGTCGTGTCTCTTTTCGGCCTAAATGTGTGGCAGGGAGGCGGGCGCGTTCCTTGCAGGGTTGGCCACAAGTCAAGCCGCGAAGAGCATCACGCACCTCACCCTGTCGCGTTGTGCCGACATCATCGAGCGCGATCTGGTCCATCTGCACAGCATTCCCTCCCTCAAGTACGCTTAGTGTTCGTGACATGCCTGCATCACAGAACACTTCGGGGCAACGCTTTTTCTCGCCCCATGGAAAGAGAGAGAGAGAGAGAGAGAGAGAAGAGATTATTGACCCACGCCACGTCACGTCACTCAACCAATACAGGCAGCTCAACCTCGGCAACACTGAAGAGGTCGCGCTCTTGACTTGCGGTCCCATCCTCGCCCATTCTTGTCCGCAGCTCGAGGTATGCAATGGCAACGTCGCTCTCTCTTTCTCTCTCTCTCTCTCTCTCTCAGCACAACTGTGATATGGTAGTACCACACACACACGACTCACGCACGACACAACGCACGCCACGCCAGAGCCTGACAATGAGCGCGGATGAGTATCGTTGCCGGAACAACCCCGACGCCACCCCATTTCTCGACTTCCTCTCCTCCACCTGGCCTCCCACCGACAACGACAACAACAACACTAATATCGATGGCAAAAACGCTGAGAAGGGCCCGCCGCTTCCGCTCTTGACGTCACTCGTCATGATCGGCACCATCGTTTCGCCGGCGGCCTTCCGTCGCTTCCTCGCCCAGCGACCGAACGTGGACCGCTTCACGGAGCTGGTCGTGTGCGAGCCGTCGGACCGGAGTGACTCCATCGCCCCGTTGTCGTCGAACAAGACGAACAAGCTGGCCGCCGACATCCTCAAGGCGTGCCCTCGCGTGACGTCACTCTGGGGCGGCACCTTCACCACCCTGCGCATCGATGATGGACGCCTGGCCGATCTGATCGTGGGCCAGCGGGCCACCGCGCTGCGCTCGCTCGACATTGCCTTCGACGTGATCGTGGGCCAGCACGACGGTCGGACGAGCCACACGGTCGCCCTCGCCGAGCTGGTGGCGTCGAGGCACCTGCCAGTGCTCACGGAGCTCGATCTCGACTACCTCTCCTCGGTTGAGGAGGGGTCGCCCGCGCCGCTGCTCAACGACTTGAGGGAGGTGGCGCCGCTCGAGAGGCTCTACGTCAACCTGCACCACAGGCCGCCGCTGGCCGTCGGCATGGGCGGCGCTTGGCTGCCGCGGCACGTGGGCTGGTCGCTTCGGCGGCTCGAGCTCGCCAAGTGTCGGCTGACCGTGTTCATGGTCGATTTTATGTCCGAGCTGCAGGCTCTCGAGGGCCTCGTGCTCAGCGGCGTCCACGTCTGCGCCCACGCCACATTATGTGAGGCATCACGCCGTGGTGGCGCCGAGGTGGCCATGGCCTGCCGCGCGGTCGAGAGGGCTGTGGCAGCTCTGTCACACCTCCAAGACCTGGTAATCTCGCGCCTGGCGATCCGATCTCACGAGGAGGACGAACGACCAAATGGAGGTGAAGGTGGAGGTGGAGGAGATGGAGATAGAGATAGAGGTGGAGGTGAAGAGGAGGTCAAGACGCCAATGATCGACCGACCACGGCTGACGATCACCCACGGTTGCTTGGAGCGACTCACGTTCACCGGCGGTCACAAGCCTGGTCACACGGCGCTGGCTGGCGTGCAATGCCCCAACCTGCGCTACCTCCGGGTGCCACTCGATGGCTTCGCAGCATCGGCCGCGACCCTGGTCGAGATCGCCACGACGCTGTCACCGCGCTTGGAAACGATCGTCGTGAGTGGTCATCTGCCGGGCGACCAGCTCGCAGCGATTCTCCTGAGCTGCCGACGCCTGAGACGCCTGGCGACCTATCAAGGAGTTAAAAAAGACATGGAGTCGGTGAGCGAGCCCTCTGTGGGCGCCAGCAATGAAGGGCATAGGGCGTATGCGTTGACGCGGCTCGAGGATCTCAATCTCCGGGACAGTGATATCGGCGACGAGCGTCTGAGCGTCATCATCCGACGCAGCACTCAGCTGTGGCGACTCGAGCTGAACAACTGCTCGGCTCTCACCACGGTGAGCCACCTCGAGGGCCACGCAGGCCTGCGGCAGCTCCACCTGTGCAATCTGCCCAGACTCGTCGACACTGCCTTTCCTGTGGGTAT